CAGCTCCCACTTCTTAGTGTTTCCCTGGTTGCCTTTCCTCGTGAAAGAGGTTCGGTGTCGACCTGTTTTCCTGGTGCATTTTTGTACATCACAGGAATGTTATTCTGCTCCTGGTTTATCTTGTAACTTTGTATGGGGGTTTGACCTCCATACTTTTCTGCTGTGCGTGTGTGTGGGGGGGTCATGGTGGTGGGGTTTCTTTGAATTTTCTAAGGCCAGAGTGCCCTCTTCTGCTGTGTTTCCATAGTGTTCAAAAACATAAGAGCTGGCTTTCTGCGTCCTGGCTGTTCCCCTGCCATGCTCATCGGGCCATCTCCTTCCTTTCTACTGCCCCATCTTGCTCACCGTCTCCCAATTTGTTCCCTGATGTGAGTCCTTCCAAGGGACCACTGGGATTCTGGGATCTAGCTCTACCCTTACTAGATGGGTAAACACAGACAAGCCCCTCGCCTCCCTTGCCCGTTTCCTGCCTGTAACCGGGACTGGTACACAGAAGCAGGTGCATCCCTGCACACCGTCTATCAGAGCTCTGGCTCAGTTAATCAAGCACTGGGCACAGAGCCTGCTCCAGCGACTCTGGGTGTGACTGCCGGAGTAGCCCGAGGCTCAGCTTCCCTACCCGTTAGGGGCGTGATCTAGCACCCTCTGAAGCGCCCTGTAGCGCTTGGCATCTTCACCTTGGCCCTCACTCATTTACTGATCAGGAAAGCATGACCGCGGCTGTGGGGTTAGAACAGCAAAGGAGCACCTGACAGCCAAGTGAGGCCTTTTTTCCAGATGCTTCTTTGCCAGATTCTCTGCAGGGGGAGAGCCTGGCCAGGAAGGCAGATGGGGATGGAGGAAGGGCCACAAGTACAGGCGGAGGTATGCACAGGGCCCCACAGGGCCCCGCAGGAAGGCTGAATTGTAGAAGGCCAAGCAAGACTGGAAGCAGGCTCTGGAGCAGGTTTCTTGGACAACTCCCTACCCCCTACAGCCAAGGCCTCTCCACCATCTGTCACCCCAGCTGGGTCCAGTCAAGGGAACTGAGAGCCTCACCCAGCTCAGTGACTCAGCTGAGTCATCCTTAGAGCCGATGGGGCTGGTGTGGCTCCAAGGCCAGGCCCAGGACAATTCCCTCCTCAACACCAGGCTCATGTTACCTCCTGCCTGCCCACCTACCATGCCCTCAAACTGCCTTCCACCTTGACACCTGCCAAGCTCACCCAAGAACAGGCTTTACATGTCTTACCACCCACGTCCAGGCTTTCTCAGTGGCCCCCGGAAGTGTTTGATTATAACAAGTCTCAGATTTATTTTGGTGGTTTCCCGATGATGGGTACAACTGGAAGCATTCTGCTTCCACTCTGTCAGGGCCCCCATTGATGGAAGGATTGTGGCGACCTTTGAAAGAGCTTGCCCAGGCTTGGGTTTAACCTCAATACCTTTAATCCACCCAGACCATCCTTCAGCGCCTGATCCTAGATCTGCTAAGTCTTTGCCGGGTCACACCTCCCTAAGTCTCATGAGGTCCCTGTAAGAACCAGTCAACTTTCACCCAAAGGCTGAGATCAGCAGTTGCCCTGACCAACTTGCGCAAAGAAGGGAGGGGTGGAGGGGTCATGGGTGGGGGAACAAAGATAGTAGAGTACATCCTCTCGTTAAAGATGGTTGTGAGCTGTGTCTTGGCTCAAATGAAATTACAGCTCGTTTATTATGCTACAGGGTAATAACTGAGTCACAAGTCACACCTATCAATGATCTCGGGGTTAACGGTGACTGATAGTGAATCTTAAATGGCAGATGCTGAAATGACACTGCACTGCTCGCGGTACCCGGGTGCCGGTGGTAACTCACCCAGGCCCTCGCTGAGTGCGGTGTGGGCATTTTGACTAGATCCCCGGTGATTGGTGCATATTACAAGTCTCGGCACTCTGTTCTAGAGGGGCCATCCTCGGCCCTGGCCTTACATTAGAATCACCTGGAGTGCTCTCCGCCCATACTTTGGGGATTGAGCTAATGGTCCGCAGTGGAGGTCCGTGCACTGCTATAGGTAAAAGATCGCTGGCTGATGAATACACAGCCAGGACCGCGCGTCACCATAGTTGGGACCGCAAGTCACTGTGCGTCACTGTAGCCGGGACTGCGCGTCACTGCATCCCAGACTGCACAGTCACCGTAGCCGGGACTGCACGTGACTGTTGGCATGACTTTGGGCCACTTGCTAGCCTCCAGGTCTGAAATGTTTCCTGGATTAAAGGGACTGGAGACAGAGGCTGCCCTAAGACACAGTTCAACCTCTCTATGGTGGCAAGGAGGAAGAGGGCTTGAAGGGCAGGACTCCTCCACCGCTCCCCCAGTCTAGTCCCAGAAGCCCCCTTGCCAACTCAGGTTCCTGGCAGCCCTCAAGTGGAGGCGAGGGGAGTGACCCAGCCTTGCCAACACTGCCTGTCAACCTTAGGTTTAGGAAAACGCACGTATGGGGCTCGAACTCGCAGTCTCCTGTCACTGATTTTAAACATTCCAGTTTTTGGAGAATAACTCAGAAACTGCAGACTGTTTTAACCAGTTCACTTCTGGGTTTAGGGAAATTCTTCCTCCTATATGAAACTAGTGGAAACTGTCACTCAGAAAACATTTCAGTGGCAAAGCTTAAGGAACTTTTTAGGACAATCTTCTCCGAGCTCCAGCCCTGCTCCAGAGCAAGAGTAGCCTGGCCTGGCTGCCTCACAGAGAGTGAAGCAACTTTGCCAGCCCAAGGTGTGCCATCCTGCCTTAGATGCCACCAATATGGCCAGCAGGGTGGAGCGGGTCGCCTGTACTAGAAGTGACCCAGACATAAGGCACCAGGTCAATGTTTTCCAAAGTCACAGGACTCAACTGGGAGTGCTGGTCCTATTCCTGCAGATTCCAAGACCCATCAGACTCCACACCCAGGTTTCCAGGAGAGACATCTTGAAACAGGTTGAAAAGACCAGTATTCACAAATAACAGGTTCGACTTAGAACTTCATCAACATGCCAGTGACTTTAACCCACTTAGAACCTCACAAGCTAGAAGGAACCTGCTCAGGATGGTCTCAAGGTCAAGGACAGAATCCCATCCCAGGGCTTGGGAGTGCAGAGCCCCCAAAGCAGGGGGCAGATGTGAAGAGCCAAATAAATCTAGAGCAAGTACTTTTTTGGGTGGGGCTGAGTATTCCTTAGGAGATAGTGCCAATGGCTGGTTCAAAGGTGAGCATTTTCTGTAGCCTGGGAAGGTGGGACCCAACAAGGAGGTCTAAATATTCAGAGTAACCTTGAGCCCTCACACTAAGCTGGGTGACCCCACCTACTCACATGCCCTGCCCAGAAAGTTCTACCCAGGACAGGCTGGGCGCTGTGTACCCAGGGTGGAAACAGGTAGGAATTTCAGAGTCCCTTGCCACCTCTCATGATAGCCAGTTTTCCCCGTAGCCCATGGGTACACCCAGAGGAGAGCAGAGACACAGGGAATATCTCCTCAGACACTGACATCCCCCCTCCGCCCATTGCTTCACCCTTTGGCACTGGCCAATCAGAATAATCTTCCTGGATTTCACTTCCCCCTTTCAGAAGAAAAAAAAAGTTTTGCTCACCAAACTAGTTTTCTGGAAACCAAGACTACCCTCAGATGTCTCCTCTAACACCCAGTGCTGAATAGGACAGGAGAAAAACCTCAATGTTTGGCAGAGTGGATGGGTCTCAGGGAGGACAAATCACATTCTAGCTCAAAGGGACAGGCCACACCCAAGCAGGGGAGCGGTCAAGGGAACTGAGTGCAGAAGGATCCTTAGATTCCTGTAGGAATCCTTACTTCTCCTGCAGGAGCTTTACGTCAGAGAGGCCTGAGATTTGCAGGGAGGTATTAGCAGGACCATAAATTGATTTGTTTGTTTTGAAACCCAGGTTAAAAAAACAAAACCTCCAAAAAAGAAAGCAAAACCTCCCAAGGTCCAGTCTCTACCCCATCCATCTTCTGCCCGTTCTGCTTCAGAGTGCTCTTACCCGGCCCAGTAGAAGCAAGGCCCTGGAAAGCAAAGGGGCTAGCGCCTGGAGGGCTTGAGGTCACACCACCGGTTTTGGGGTTGGGAGCCAGTACGGAGTACTCACATCCAAAAGCGCTTCTGGGTCTGGCTTCCACAGACTACTCAGGCCCGCAACTCCCACACTCAACTCCCACACCCGGCCCAAGGGCCCAAGGGATCACTTCCGGGCAGGCAGGGCAGGCTGGGCAGGCTGAGGGGTGGGGCTTGGGCACTTAAAGGGCCCCTGCAGCTGGTGTTCATTTCCTGTTCTGGGCACTTTGACTGCAGCTCCAGGTACTGCAGGTACCGCCCCTCACCCAGCTCTCAGAGGAATTCTTCCAGCCCCACAGCCGCTGGGGCATCGCAGGAACTCGGTAGGCTGAGTAAGTCAGGCTGAGACCAAGGCCCGGGTGCTGCGGGAGTTTACCTCTGCCCACCTGGCTTTAATTTCTCAATCCAATGAACACAATTCTGCCTCTTCACAACTGTTTCTGCTTAGCTGAGTCCCTCCTCTAAGAGAATGCTAATTTTGGATTATTTATTTTAGAGTCAGAAAATTCAGCCCACGTCTCCAAACAGATGGTTAACAGAAAACATGAACACACACTGTCCCTTTTCTTACAAGAAGCAGTGGTGAGAGTTGGGGATTTCTCTCCTCTTTATAAGTTTTCCAGCACCTTGGGTTGGGGCAGGAGGCCCAGGCCCCAGCAGGTACACACTCTGCATCCTAAAGGCAGCAGCAATCAGTAATTTCGCTGCCGGGGGAAGAGACTACTACTCCCAGAGGACCGGAGTGGGGGGCTGGTAGGGCTAGGGTCTTCTGAATCTAGGCTGAAGAGGTCCCTGCCAGTCCGAAGGATTTGTTCCTCCAGCTTCTTGTGTCTCTTCATGTCTGAGAGCACCTTGTCCAAGCGGGCCTCCCGTTTCTGGCTCCGGGCTGAGCTTCCTGGAGAAAGAGGAGTTGAGAAATGTGGAAGGGAGAGAGACAGTGTGCACCAGACCTGTCTGAAGAGTACCAGTCAGCTGGGGAGTTTATTAAACAAGCAATGTCAGGCCCTCCCTGGTGGCGCAGCGGGTTAAAGCACAGCACTAAGCTTGAGCCACTTCCACATGAGTTCAATCCCCGCCTGTCCCAGAGGAGATCCACATGGGCGGCAGACCCCTCCTGACCCGCCCACTGCTCCCCTCAGCAGTGGACTTCGTCGATCTGCCTGTTCTGCTCCCTGCTCTGTCTCTGGTGAGTCCTCCACCCTCTGCATCTCTGGTCTGTACCCGAGTTCTGTATGAATAAATAAATAAATCTTTAAAAAAACAAAAAACAAGCAATTCCCAGGTCTCTGTGATGGAGGCTGAGGTTTAGCTTGGGCCTTCAGTTGGGGTGGGCAGTGAAGATCTGGATCCTAGAGTGTGAAAAGCAAGGACGGCAGGACAAGAACAAAGTCTACTCCACGTGTAGGAAGTTGGGGAAGAAGTGAAAAAGAGGCCAAACAAATGACTTACAGGTGACGGTAAGGAGTTCGGATCTCTTATTTTAGATTGGAAAGCCTCTGGCAACAGTTTTGTGGGAAGGGGTTTGGACTGTCTGTCAGCAGGCTTTCTCCTGCCCCTCTTCCCCACTGCCACAATGCAACCCTTCAGGAATTTTTTTAAAAAGTAACAAAATTTAAACTTTAACTGGATCTAACTGCTGAGGCTGGGGGCAGGAAAGAGCCAGGAGATACTACAACTCTCCAGGCCCAAGGTGGTGACTAGGATGCTGCTGCAGTGCTGAAGGTGGGGAGCAGCAGATGAACTTGGAATGTGGAAGGAGAGCTAAGATGACATGCTGCTCACTTGAACATTGTGGTAAGAGAAAGGGAAATCGGGAATGAATTCTCAAGAGTGAATTCTAGAAAAGCATATGGGGGGTGGAGAGCTCGGTCTAATTAGATGTACACCATCTAGCATTAATCTTGAAAATGTGAGTGACTAGGAAGATCTGGACATCTGGGGAGATGGAGCTGAACAATGGGCAGCATGACAGAATTATGTGTGAGTGTTAGAAGATGCCTATCAAGCTACCTGGAGGATGACACCACTGGGTGAATGCTGTGTAGCAACCAAGGCACGGAATACAGGCTCTGAGGGGAGTCACTTCTTGAGTCAGTGGGAGCAGTGGCCCTTCACTCCCCCCCTGCCACTCTTCCCTCTCCTCGGTACCTGGGGTGCGCCGCCGGTCAATCAGAGAGTCCTTTGGTGTCATTGGCTCATCATCAAAGTCAAATTCTGTGGGCATGTGCGGCCTGGGACAGTGGACAGAGAGGTAAGGGTGAGGGTAATCCCGGCAACACCCGCACAGGTGTTTCTCCCGGCCTGCCTTCCCTCCCTCCCTCCACTTTCGCAAAGAGCTCCACCTCCTCTCCCTACTTCCCCCAGGCATCAGGGAAGCAGCCACAGGGCCAAGAGAAAGCTGTTCCCTCACTTTTCCTCTTCCTCTTCTTTGGCCTCCGGCTCCTCATCTGATCTCTCCTCTTCACTCTGGGCCTCAGGCGTGGGTGGCCGGCGGGGCAGGATCTCAGCTTGAAGTTCCAGGGTCCCGTGGGCAGCCAGTAGTTCATAAAGCCGCTGGATTTCGGACGGAGGGGGCATCCAGGACTGGCCGTCTGCAGGCAGTTCCACCTCCTCGTCGCTGCAGGGTACGCACCAGTCCTCGGCTTCTCTGGTGGCATGCTCCTCCCCCTCGGCGCCGGGGGCTTCTGCCTGCACCTCCTCAGCCCGGGGCCCCTCAGGCTCGGCCTCCTCCTGGGCTCCTTCGCCCTCTTCCTCGGTTTTATCGGCCACAGCAGAGGGGCCTCCGGTATCCTCCACGGCCAAGGCTTGGAGGCCGGAGGTCACTTCCCCTTCTTCAGACAGAGGCACCGCTGTGGGGGCCGCAATGTCTCCATGACCCCGGACAAGGGACATAGGCCAACTAGCGAAGGGGCCCTGCGACGACGGGTGATGCTGAGTCTACGGAGCCGCGGCCTCCACCCCACCCTCCCCAAGGGACTGGGCTCCCCAGGGGTTTAGGGAATGTCTCTCCAAGCAATCCGGCTCCAACAGCGGTCCCTGCGACCACCCCGCCGGTTCCCAGGAGGGGGCGCTCAGTCCCCTCCAAGGACCCGGCCCCAGGGGTCGCGATTCGGTCCTCCGATGTTCCCTCCTAGAGACCTGCAGAAACCACTTTCCGGACAGGAGAGGGGCGGGCCCGCTCTTCTCCCCTTCACACCGCCCCTCTCCACACCTGGACCCGGCGCCCTCTCCCCACACGTCGCGCTGCTGACACCTCCGCCGCCGCCGCCGTACGCACCTGGAAGCTAAGACCCGCCTCCCGGGCTGCGCAGGGTCACAGTACGCAGGCGCAAAGAGAAGGCGCGGGAGGCTCCACTCTAGTCAAAGCTACTTGGAAGAGGAAAGCAAGGGAAGGCTTGCACATGCGCAGGTAGGCGCTCGGGCATTATGCTTCGACCCACAGTAAAGATGGCCACCAGGCTGACGCATGCGCACCCCACCCTATGGGTTCTGCCGGGAAGTAGGCAGTACCGCGGCCCCGCGGCGCACCGCGCACGGACCAAGTGAGGCTGAAGGCGAGTCTCATGCAGTCTGCGTTTATTGGTGTTTCAGACTCATGCAGCATCCGGCATACAAAAAAGGGAGAATCAGTTCTGATGTATCTTTTTAAAAAGAGTTTTAGTTTTCCCCACACACACACACTTTTTTTTTTTTAGAAAACAAAAAATCCGCCAACTTCCTAACAGTGCCTTAACTCTGTCCCTGCCCCCCTCCCCCCAGTGGGCTGTCCCGTGCAACAAACCTCCCTCGTCATCTTCAAAGAAAATAATTATAGCGCTCCCGCCCATCCCTTGCTCCCTGCAGCAGGGCGTCTTGGTCCTATTTTGGGGGTTCTTTCCTTACAAAGCACGTGAAAGACCCCAGCCCCGACGCCTTTTAAGAAACTGACCCACTAGGTTCAAAAGCCCAGGTGAGGCAGGTAAACTCAGGCTGCTCTGGAGGGTCAATTGCTGCACCCTTCCTGTTGCCAGGTGCCCTTTGGGGAACTAAGTGCTAGTCACACTAGCACCAGTCCCCAGATGAGACCAGGCTTGCCAGCTCGGCGACCCTGGCTAGGTAGGGTGGTCCCAGCAGAGAACAGTCGGAGGCCCAGGCTAGGGAGCCCTCCCCTACACCGCTTCCCTCCCCCAGCCAGATCTAAGAGCTGGAGTGTTTGTAGAATAAACGGTGGCAGGAGGGTGGAGGAGAGGATCCTGAAGGGAAGAAAGGATGCTGAGGGGAGATGAGGAGGAAGGAAGAGGAAGGGGGTGGAGGTTGTGGAGGGGGTAGGGGAGATGTTAAAGGAGGGCAGGAAAAAGAGGAAATGGGGGAAGATGCCAGACAATGAAAGTTGGGTGGGGAGAACAGGGTTGAGGTGCAGAGAATTCCGGTGGCTGGACGAAGTGCAGGAAGGCTGGGGGAGATGCAGGGAGGCTGAGAGCAAAGAGTTCGGGAGATGTTCATGGAGGTTTCCAGAAGTGCAGAGGTGGGGAGGCCAAGAGGCTGGAAGGGAGGCAGGCAGAAGTGCAGGGAGGTTGGAAACAGTGCAGTGCAGGGAGAAGGGAGGCCTACAGTTGGCAGAGGAGCCTGGCAGGATGCAGGAGCAGGAAAGAAGCTGTAAACAAGGCCGCTCAGGCTCCCTTGGTCCCTATGGGTGCGGGCCTGGGCCATCGATTGGGCTCCCCCCAGGGGAGGATGGGCCCAAGGCAGCTCCCAACAGGAAGAAAAATCTTGGAATGCAGGGCAGAGCCCCTCACTTATACACTGTGGGAGAGGAGAGGGAGGGAGAGACAGTGGGAGGGAGGGGGAGACAAGGAGAGACAAAGGAAAAGTAGGGAGAACAGACAGGAGAGAGCAGGGGCAGGGGTTAGTAAAGCTGCCCTTGCCAACCCTTCCATGCCTCCCGGCCTGTCCCAGACCCCCACTCACCGCCTAAGTTGATGACGCAGGAGGCGATGATGATGAGGACCCCCCCTACCAGCGCCACGATGCTTAAGAGCTTGGCCACACGGCCCAGACGCTGGGCCCCATCCACGTCCCCCTGCTGCAGGCTGTTCCGGGACTGGGGTTAGGGTGAGGGGCGGGGGGGCACCATGGCCCAGGTCAGAAGGCAGCTCAGCAGGGATCGAGTGAAAGAGTTGTCCAGAGAAGATAGGCCGGCCAGTGGACAGTGGTTGAGGAAGGAAGGGGGGTTGGAGGGATAGGGGGAGGAGGGCACAGGTCAGCAAGGAGGTGTGAAACTTGTTTCCAATCCCTCCCACCTTAAGGGTAGGGCAATGGTGGCTCAGAGGGTGGAGTCCTGGGGAGAGGCAAGCAAAGACCTGGCAACTGGGAAGTGAGATCCATGCAGAAAGGGGAGGAAGGTGAGGCTAATCTTGGGGTTCTGTCCCAGCACTAGCAGGAAGCTGGGAGCCCCGGTGGGCTGGACCAGGGTCCCGGGTCCCGTGGGGCTCACCATGACGGCATAAGCGAAGGCCACGATGTTGACAGGCCACATGGGGCAGAAGCAGGACAGGATAGCGAGGATGATGTAGTCCCGAGGTTTCTGGGTGCCTTCACCCCCCTCCACCCCAGACCCTACCAGCTGAGAGCTGGGGTGGCGGCTCAGGCTACCTCGGGGAGATCCTGGATGCCCACCGTGCACCCTTCCTAGTCGGTCCTCCTCAACCAGCTGCTGCAGCACTCGGGGAGGGGCCCCGTTGGCTGGGGGGGTTTTAGTTGAGGGTGGCGAGTGAGGCAGAGGGGCTGGGCCCTCTTCTCCATCACCGGCCTGTAGGGGAACCACAGCCCCATTCTCCTGTTTTTCCCCCACATTCTCAGTCAGGATCTCTGGGGTGGGGGCTTCCTGGGTAGGGGGCTCTGGCTGAAGGACTGGTTTAGGGGTGGACTGGAAACTTGGCTGGGGGTCTGTCTGAGGGTCTGATTGGGGGTCCAGCTGGTTAGTGGGCGCTGAGGCTGGCTCAAGTGGGGCTGCAGACTCCAGGTCTGCAGTGGCCTCTTTGCTCACTTCTGGTTTGGAGGCTGGCACTTGGCATGCTTCTTTGGGGCTGGAGTTGGCCTTTGAGTTCCCTTCTGGGCTTGAGCTGAGGTCTCTGGCCTGGGTGATTTCTGGGGCCCCAGTTGGGGTCTCTGTGGTTTCTGGAGTAGATCCAGCATTGGGCTCTGAGTCCACAGGAGCCCCAATGGTGTCTGGACCTGGCTGCAGGGCCTCTGGTTCATTTGGGGCCCCAGCTGGGACCTCGGGAGGGCCAGTTCCAGCTGCAGAATGGCCAGGCCCTTGTCCCTGGGTCTGGGGGCCCTCCTCTATCCCCTTCATCTCAGAGACCTCAGAGCTGCTGGCTGCCATCTTGAGATGGGAGAGGGGAGAGGGCCTCTGTGGGGAGGATGGAGCAGCAGAGACAGCAGCAAATCCTGAAAGAGGAGACAAGCTTGGCGTGAGGAAGTAAGAGGTGGCTCCCAGCACTGCAGCCCAAGAAGGCTAATGCTGCTGTCCAGCCTGGGGCTGCCTCTGGAGAGAGGAAGAAAAGTTGGGATTTCCTTTGCCTTGGGGTGGGACTGCTTTGCAAAAAGTCTTCTGCTTGGACAGCACTGGGAAGATTAACCCTTTGGTAAACAGGACCCTCCCATGGTCTCTTCCTGAGTCCACCCAACAAAATCCAGACTCAGATCCTGGCAGATGTCCCAGCACCCCAAAATCAACAAGCTGTGCAGACATTGGTACACTCCAGCAGGCAGACAGGGTAAGGGACCTGCTCCTCACGTCCCTCTTTCTTCATCCTCCCCTTCTCCCTGGGTACCCAGTCGGTGCAGGTTTTCTTGCTGCATTTGGGGGCCAGACGCCCCCGCCCCTTCTTGGAGAATGTGGGTATCTCCTCAGTACCCATTCTCAGCCCCTCTCCCCGGGATTCCCTGGCCCCTGGGGGACCGGCGCCTCCTCCTCTCACTGGCGCGGCGCGCCCAGCTCCACCAGCCAGTCCACCAGGCGCCCGCATTCCCATGCAGCCCTCCCGGCAGCCGTCTGTCAGCCCGTTCCTACCCGCAGCCTCAGTTATTCCGCGTCTCACCTCGAAGCCGGTCTCCAGAATGCCCCCGTTGCTGCTGCTGCTGCCACCACCGCCGCCGCCGTTGCAGCAGCAGCCGCAGCCCGGGAGGGAGCGAGTCAGTGAGCGAGGGAGGGAGGCGGCGGGTCTCCCCTCCCCTCTGCTCGTCCCCTCCTCTCCCTCCTCTCAGGTCCCCTCCCCTACGCTCACAGGCCTCCGAGCGCCGCCCCCGCCCCTCGCACGCCTCCCGCCCCTCCCGGCCGGCCCTAGGGAGGCACGCGTGCCAGGCCCGCTGTTACCTGGGCAACTGGCTGGGGGACCACTCGTGCCCCCTCCCTACCCTTTCCCACGCGCGCCTCCCGGGTCGCCCCCTTCCCAAGTCCCGGGCCCCTCCCGCCAACGGTCACCGGGGGTCCTGGCAGAGCCAAGAGTTTAGGGGAAACGGAGAGGGGTCTGCGAGGCTGCTGGCAGGACCAGCGAGACAGGCAGGAACGCTGGAGGCACCCCTACGAGCAGATAGAGGGGAAGGGAAATGGGGAAAAACTTGGGGACCTGCAGACGTAGAGTAGGGTGGGGTTTCAAGGGAAGGGAATGTGCAGAACAAGAGGTCCCTCTACAACCCCCTCTCCCCCAAATCCTCCAAGAAAGCAGCAGTAGAAATAGGTATTGGAAGACTCAAGGGCCGCTGGAAGGGCCAGAGCAAGGACTGGGAGAGGAATTCCACGGGGCTGAGGAGAGGTTGCAGGGGCAGCATGGAACAGCAGGAAGGGGCTGGGCCTGAGGAGCGCCAGCTAAGCCCCAGCAAGCTGGATGATGCCCAGAATGAAGGCAAGTAGGGGAAAGTGCAGCCTCAACCTCATTGCTTCGGTTCTCAGGCTCAGAACCCCCAGCCTTTCTGCAGCTACCTCATCCACCATCACCTCTTGGGGTCCTGAGGGCCTGCAGGTACTTGGAGGGGTCTGAGCAGTGGGGATTAGGTACGGGTTGCCTCTTCAAGCCTCCAGTGGCTATTCTGGGCCTGTCCAGATTGGGTATCCCCCAGGGACCTGGGAGTCCAGGAACTTGCTCTCTACAGTTCAGTGCCTTGGCCCCACCCCAACCCAAGCTGCCTCACCGAAGCTGCCTCTGGGGAGGGAGGAGCCTGAGTCCCAGAGTCACACAGAGAAGGGCTGGTACTGATGCCAGGCCCAAGAAGAAACCTCTTTGCGTGTGGAAACGGGGGTTTGGTGACAGCAATTCAATCTGGAGCCAGACAGGTTTTTATTTAAAATTTATTGTAATGGGGTCCGCGCAAGAGGAGGGGGGTGAAGGTTGGGGAACATGCAGGGGACACAGGAACACGATGACATGGCCAGGGCCACAGCTTCTGTCGTGGGGAAGAGGGATGAAAAGAAAAGGCCAGGGCTGGAGCTGGGGTGGAAGAGGGAAAGGGGGAGACACTGCGGCTGCATTCCCCCTACCCCCAGGAAGCACCTCTGTCCCTGGATCCCCCCATTTACCCTGGCCCCATTAAGATTCCATCTCTTGTCCTGCCTCTGGCCTTAATGGCTCCTTCTTTTGCTCCCCTTGTCTTTTTCCCCTGACAGTCTCAAGTAGGAGGATGTTTGGGGCCTGAGCCCAAACCACCTCATCTTATGAAGGTACCTTTACCTTCCCTGCTTTTGCCCCTTCTCGAGTCTTGTGTTCTCCCCTCTCTGGGACAGAATCTTTGATTTCCCCTCCTTCCTCTCCTCCCTCCCCCTGAAAAAAATAAAAATAAAAATAAAAAAAAGCACCAACTCCCCAGGGAGGGGCAGCAGACAGTAGGAGGGAACTGGAAGGAGAGCAAGAAGGACCATCGAGGGAAAAGGCTCACAATCCCCAGAAGGGCAGGGCAGAGGAGTCCAGAGAGGAGAGGGGGTGAGGGCAGTGGCCGCTCCTGTCCTCTGCTACCCCTGCCCACTGTCCAGGGGGCTCAACACAACCAAGGGGACAGGTGTATGTGGGATCAGGTCTGATAGGAAGAAGAGAGGAGCAGGAGAAACAAAATTTTAAAATCTAGTGAATTCCCCTAAGAAAACATTTCTTCCTCCTTTCCTTCTGGAGGCTCCTTGGTTGGTGGGAGAAGTAGTGAGGAGTTGGTGGGAACAGAGACGGGAAGAGGAGATGTAACCAAGGGTTTTCCTCCATTCTCCCCTCTGCCCTCCACCAACGTGGAGCTCACCAGGGCTGGGAGGGAAGTGGCTGAGAGCTCACGGGCACCCCCTCAGCCCCAGAGAGGGAGCCCACAGCTGTGGGAGGGGCTGCCACTGCTGCCGCCGCCGCTGCTGCTGCTGCTGCCGCTGCCGCCGCTGCTGCTGCCATGGGACACACCTCACCAGTACCTGCACAGTGAGAGACCAGATCACAACAAGCTCTAAGTGGCAAGAGCCTTCCCCCCGCTCCAAACTCTTCCCCAGACTCCCTCCCCTGGGACACAGCCGTTGCTCACTTCCTATTTGGTCCCCAGAGGCTTTGGCCTTCATCCTTACCCAGTTCTCCTATAGGGCCCTCCCTGTCCCCAAAAGTCTCCCTAACTTTAGTGACAGATGGACATCCCTGGCCTGCCTGTGATCCCCTATTGGGCCCTTTGAGCCCCCTCATCCCCCACACCCCATTCCACCCCCCCCAGCCATGCCCCACGCCTTGCCTGGTGGGTGCGGGGGTCCCCCTCAGCAGGTGGGCTGTGGCTGGGGGGCGTCTCCTGGGATAGGGGGGGCGGCCCCCCCCAGATGGGTCTGCATGTGGCCGGCCAGCTGGGCAGGGGTCTTGCAGTGCACGCTGCACAGCTTGCACAGGATGCGGTCAGCCCGCGGGGCCTGGAGCCCATGGTCCTTCACCGCGTGGATGCGCAGGTATGCTGCCGTGGTGAAGCCTATGGGGGGGTGGATTGGGGGGGTAGGGGGGTCAGCCAGATGGAGACCCCAGAGACGGGGCTGTTCTCCTAGGCTGGGGACGCCCTCCTCAGATGGCCCTGACCTCCTCCCACCATATCCTTGGTAGCCTGGGGCCAACTACTCCATTGGGGCTTGTGGGGCAAAGCCTCCTCCCCTCTCTGACCTCAGGGCCTGGTTGAGCGGTGTGGGCTTCAGTGTACCTCAGAGACCATCCTCCATGGCAGGGGGCTCTCACCCATGGGACACGACACTGATACCTAGGGTGACCCTCAGCAGAGACGGCTGTGTCCCCTCCCTCCAGTGCCCCACAGTCTCAGCCCAGTTACTCAGCCAAGAAGGAGTGTTTAAAAGCAGCTCTCTGGTACCTGGGGCAGCGTGTATGCCTGGTAACCCCTGGCCCACGTACTCCACTTGCCCCAGGAGCCAAAGATGAGAAATTGTGGCTGCAGAGCTGAAACCTGGCCGTTCGACCCTGGGGAACTGGCTCTTTTGACCATTCCTCCCCCAAAGCCCTTATGCCCCGCTCGTTCTCCTCACACACCCAGAAGTTAAATCTTCTCCAGTCATGACCACTTTCTTAGAAGTTAGCGATGCTGCCACCCCTGTGCTGCTCCATTTGCTTCCCAAAGGCCTCCAGATGCCACCAGTTCTTGGCTACACCTTTAACCCACATCTGGAAGGGTCACTAGCTTGGCCCCCACCCTTTATCCCTGGACCTCCCGGCATCCCTGGGCGTGTACCTTTGTTGCAGAGCTCACAGACATGGTGAGGGCCCTGGCTGTGCACCTTCATGTGGTCCGAGATATAAGCTGAGCTCAGCATCTTGCCACACACATGACATGGCACTTTCTCCTCGTGTCGTACTGTGTGCGCCCGCAGTCGGTCCTTCGTAGCAAAAGCTGCCTCACATTTCTGGGGAGGGGGGAGGGGCGTGGGGGGTGTCAGGAGAGTTAAAGCTTTGGGGAGTGGGGAGAGGGGGGCAAGAGGTTAAAGGAATCAGAGCCTTGGGGATCTTTGATCTGTAGGAAATGGGAGTGAGATGATGAGGCCTTGAAGAAGGGATGAGAAAATGGAGTGAAAAAGCAAAAAGAAGAAAGAGAAAAAGGGGGTCTGAGAGGCTGAACTCAGACAGCTACAATGAGGATCAAAATATGAAAACCCGGACAGGAGGAGGCGAGCTTCCTACCTCACATTTGAAGGGCCGTTCTGTTGAGTGCACTTGTCTGACGTGACTGTTGAGGTGATCCGGCCTGGGGATGGGTTGGGGTTGGGGTTAGGGCTCTGCACTGTGGAGGTGCCCCCAGATTTGCCTGTGCCTAAGGTCACAAAGGCCCTCGCCAAAGGGCCCTCCTGGTCTTTTCTCCCAAGCCAGGGACTTAAGAATCCCAGCAAGGCAGGAAATCCCTCCCCGCAAGCCCAGCAGGCTCCAAGTCCTCCCTTCCCAGCCCCAGGACCCACCTCCTTTGCTAAGTACCACCCCCTGCTCCCTAGAAACCCGGAGAGGCTCTCCTCCCTCCTCCCTGGGAGTGGCTCCCGTTCCCCATCCTCAGCAGCCACCTCCCTCCCCTCCAGCCTGGCCAGGCCACCTCCGGAGCCGTCCCTCCCTCCACCCGCCTAGTGGGCGGCCGAGGCCCCGTGCACACCGGGAGAAGCTCTTGCCACAGTGGGAGCAGTTGTAGGGCTTGTGCACAGCGCCGTCATGTGAGCGCACGTGGTAGCTCATGCGGTCCTTGCGCTTGAAGCGCTGCTGGCACACCGGGCACTGGTAGGGCTTCTCGTCCGAGTGCGACAGCTTGTGTCGGTTCAGGTGGTAGACGTCGCGGAAGGCCTTGCCGCACATCTCGCAGGCGTGGTTCTTCCGGATGCGCTTTCCCGAGGCGGTGGTGGTCACCACGCCACCGGCGGCCACTGCGGCCGCCCCGCCACCGGCGCCCGCTTCTCCCCCTCCCCCGCCGGCTCCGCTCAGCTGAGGCACGCTCAGGAGGCTCAGGGGCACCATGGTGGGCATCTTCATAGCACCCGAGGGGACCCGGCCGGCCTTGGCTCCCGTGTGGATGGCCTCGTGCCTCCGGAGGTTGTAGCCGTTCTTGAACTCCTTGGCGCACAGGGCGCAGATGTAGGGCCCCTTGCTCTTTGTCTTCTTCTCCAAGGCAGAGGCGACTGGGGCCACAGCGACCGTCGAGGTTGGGGCTACGACGGCGGTGGCCGCTGCGGCGATGCTGGCGGCAGAGACAGGGGGCGCGGCTTCAGCCGCGGGCGCCGACACC